TCTGAGGATTGAGTCCCGAGCTCTCCGACTGAGTCAGAGGAAGACTTCGTGCCGCTGGACGACACGTCGTTGGACTGACGAGTATGTCGGGCGCCGCAGGGTATCTCCTCCTTTGTTTGGAGGAAGAGGGAGAACGAGCTACGGCGCTTCGACTTTACCGCAGCTCCTAGGGTCAAGGTTCCTGACCTGGATGCTGAATCCACACCTGAAGAGGTTTTCAGGCAGTTCCTGATGCTGGAACTGTTAGAAAAGATTGTGCAGGAGATGAATCGGTAAGCACATCATCTAATATTACTTGTTTGTTGGTTTGAAGATATCTGTTTACAATTTCTCATGCTCTGACTCTTGCAAACATGATTTTTACACTGCCAATTCTCCTTGTCCTGCAGATATGTTGCGCAGAATCCATGGACGCCTTCTGCCCACATAAAGGGATGGGAGGACACAACCATGAAGGAGGTTCGTACTTATCTTGGGCTGTGGTTCTTGATGGGGTACAGTCCAAGAGGCAAATGCGAGACTTCTGGTCTCGCGACCCTCTGATGTCGTTGGCGATTTTCCCGCAGATGATGTCGCGCGACAGATTTGATCAGCTGACTGCAGCACTACACTTCGCAGACAACCAGGCCGAGCGTCAAGCAGATAATCGACTCTGGAAGCTGAGGCCTGTCGTAGATGTGCTCGACATGCAATTTAGAGAAGCTTTTGTGCCAAACAAGGTCGTCTCCATTGACGAGAGCCTTTGGACCTTCAAGGGGCGCCACCAGGCTTTGCAGTTCGTGCCCAACAAGAGAGCACGCAGGGGAATAAAGGTATACAAGCTCTGCTCGAGTTTGGGGCCAGAGGCCGGCTACACCACCGCCTTTCGTATCTACATGGGGAAGGATCGCGGGGACGTCCCCGCGAGCATGAAGGCAGTGATAGACCTGCTGGAGAGAGGGGGCCTCATGGACAAGGGGTACGAAGTACATGCCAACAACTGGTACTCGTCCCCTAGTCTGTTCCACCACCTACAAAAAAGAAAAACAAGCGCTGTCAGTACGGTCAGAAGCAACAGGAAGCAGATGCCAATAGACCTGCAGGCAAAAGGGCGAGGAAGTGTAGACTTCCGAAGTACAGATTCGAGTATGCTCGCCCTTCAGTGGCTGGACAAGAGGCCAGTCACCATGCTCTCCACAGTGCACACGAGCGAGATGGTAGCTCTTCCTCCCAACTGCCAAGGAATCCAACAAATAAAGCCAAAGGTTGTAACTGACTACAACAACGGCATGGAGGGAGTTGACTTCAGTGACCAACTTTCAGGCTCCTAAGTCCATGAGAAAAACCATCAAATGGTACAAAAAAATATTTTTCAACCTTTTGGACATGGCTGTGGTCAATTCCCTGGCTGTACACCGGTTCCTTGGCAGAAAAATGGCTCAACAAGAATTCAAGTTGGAACTTGTGAGAAGTCTCCTGAAGGAGGAAGACCGCCGAGGAAGGAGGAACCGCATCGCCCGTGCTCGCTTTGCCCCTGTTGCCCCACACATGCCAGAGGACACTCCCCTCCGAAGATGGTGACAATGTTCCCAGTGTTGGAACAGAAATAAGAAGAGGAAGGAGACACGGGTGATGTGTCGCACCTGTGGAGTCTCCGTGTGTGCATCACCATGCTTCAAGGAGTACCACGCCACTCTACATGAAATTTTGATAAGGTGATGTAAATATTATGTATGTGAATAATGTCTTGTGAATCTTGTGAATAATGAATACCGCGGATGTCTTGTGAATACCGCGGAATACCTCTTGTGAATGATGTCTGTGAATACCGCGGATGTCTTGTGAATACGCGGAATGATGTCTTGTGAATACCGCGGATGTCTTGTGAATACCGCGGATGTGAATACGCGGATGTCTTGTGAATACCGCGGATGTCTTGTGAATACTTGTAAATACCGGATGTCTTGTAAATATCGTAAATGTTGTTATCGTAAATGTCTTGTAAATATCGTAAATGTCTTGTAAATATCGTAAATGTCTTGTAAATATCGTAAATGTCTTGTAAATGTTGTACACGTCCTGTGAATAATCTAAATGTCTTGTAAATATTGTAAATGTCTTGTAAATATTGTAGATTTTGTTTGTTTTCATTCATTTTTAGAGAAATAAACAAAAAACAAAAAAATCAGAATTTCTCTTCTCCCGTGAAAACACCTAACTTCCTTTACACAGTAATCTGACACACACAAGTAGAAAATATGGTCTATTCAACAATATAAGTCAGTAAAGTCCTACATAGATCAAAGTATATGGCTACAATATGACTCCAACTGTCAACATATAGCAATGTGCAGTTTCTGAGAAACCGCTCGCCCGATCGAGCTCAAAATTCACAAGGACACCGGGGAGACCCAACCCGATGCGCAAAAAAAAAAAAAAAACCGGCTCCAAGGGGGTATCATTACACGTTTGTCAAAACGATATTTGGCTAATTATCTGTGTGTCTGCTGGTACACATTTATGCTTTAAAAGTTTTTTAGTAATGTTATTATACTTCATTTGCATATTATGATATCTATCTATACCCTCATATAGAATCCTGCGCATGGAGTGTTTCACACTTTTTTGCGCCAGCCACAGGTTGACAGCTCACCATACCGCTCATTTCGAGATTGAAAGCCAGTGAAAAATATTGCGTTTCCAGTGTTGTGTTAATTCTGGGTTCTTTTTAAGACTTTTACAATGGCATCAAAGAATAATTAGACTTTAGTAACCATCCCAGTTTTATAACTGAGCCCTTCAAGAGTTCCAAATGACGAAAAAGGTGATTAAAAATCGAAGCAATCCCAACAGTACAAAGAAACGAAAGTTACACATTTCTGGATATAAAGGTATTTGGTTTATTATTTTACGGTGTGAATGCAGCTCTGTCTTGCCGTACATACCATGGTGGAGAGAATGTGTCCTGGGGGGTGTTGGGGGCTTGCCAGCCATCAACCCTCCCCTCGGGCACACCTAGTTAAAGCAATTTGTATTAATATATTAGGTTGGTTTATTGGTCAATAGTTTTTTTTGGGGGGATTGGAATGTGTGAATTCCCCTAGAGTTTTGCCGAAATGTGGGTTGGGTCCCCGTAGAGTTTTTGATTTCTGGCGCGTCAGCCCGTAAAATTTCAAAGATGGCGGTTACATTCGTAGAGTTTCATTGGCTGATTTTAAGCATTTTTTGTGTTAGTTTTACACATTTTTAAATCATTATTCTTATTTAAGCTTGTTTTACCGCATAATTTCCCTGATATACTTCATGCCCTCCCCTGCTAACAGGACTATCAAATCAAAATCGTCGATGGAGAAATGGTACTCGATCTCCTGAACGATTCATTCACAGAAGAAACAATACTGAAAATCGATGAAATCATAGGATTTCATGCAGAAAAACATTTTTTTCTTTTTTTGACTTGGTCTCTGGGAGGGTGCGTCGCTCTCTGTAAGAATTACCAAAGACAGCATAAATATGGAACTGCAGACAAGCACATAGTAACAAATGTACTCCTTGGCATATCCCAGTATTTGGTTACTCAGTCAGTACAAGTACAGCCGCTGCAGCTGTACCCATGTTGTCTAAGACTAGTTCTTACACTATGAGATGGCAGTGTTCATTTCCCTCTATCTCAGTGTGTCCCTCTCGATAACTTATACCAATGTGGAGTACAGGGGGGGTTGCCCTCATCTAGGGAATGAATATAAAGGGTAGGTTGGGTTTTTGGGTTTGCGTCATACCCTGATTTTTGGACTGCCTTTGAAGGGTGTGTCACTCTCAGTAACAAATATCACAATTTCACACTTCTCACATGATTTTGTAAGTTCTAAAAACAGATTTTTCAAGAGGGTCCAGCATAGGTATTACATGCCATGATTGCTTTTTAAAAACAAAATTTAAAATTTCTATTTGTCATCTATCGTCTACTTTATGTGCTAAGGCAGCCAAATTAGGATAATTTTCTGCATTCCCTTCGCTTCTCCAATATCGACGATTTTGGTATGGTTGGATTCATCTCACTGTGTACAATCCAAATATGTAGGTTTTATTGCGCGGAAACCCCCCGTTAGCGGCAAACTTGGCCCCGATAGCAGGGGCAACGATGTCGGAGCGGCGGACGCAATATAGAAAATTACCCTAATAATATAACCCACAGTGAAAATAACCATTGTTATTCACATGACTTTCCATTACAGGGGGCTGTGCCCCCTGCGACCCTCAACCCCCACCAAGCAAACAAAATATCCCCCACGTATTCCCGGCAGGATAGAGCGCACACAAACAAGATGCATCGAGAAAGGCGCAAAACCCACCGAGCCAAAGAGAGCGGGCCACCGCCGCTCTTCTGTTCATGGTATACCTTGTTCATCTTGATTATACTACAATCGTCTCTGTATACAATACTGACTCTGTCAAGGTTATTATGCTAATTCAGTAGGAATGTTACGAGGTAAATGTAATACATCCCCAGCTCCGATATCGCCGATAACTGTGTAACGCTCTAGCCTGCCGGGAATACGTGGTGGAGGTTTTGTTTCCTTGGCGGCGGTTGGGGGACGGTAGTCCCCCCCAGGGGGGGTCGCAGGGAATGGAAAGTCGTGTGAATAACCATGGTTATTTTCACTGTGGATTATGTTATTAGTGTTATTTAACCCCACATCTTCCCTGGAACCTTTCATGCCCTCCCCTGCTATCGGGGCCAAGTTTGTCACTAACAGGGGGTTTCTGCGCAATAAAAATTATATATTTGCAATGTGGACTGTGAGAGGAATTCAACGATACCAATAACATTGATATCGGAGAGGCTAAGGTAATATAGAAAATTACCCAAATTAGTATTTTTGGCCCTAGAACAAAATACAACCGAGTTGAATGTAAATTAATTTAAGAGTTCGTTCTTACTGCATCATTCAACATATCACAAGCATATATTCATACATAGTTTGCCATGCAAAATGAATACATGAAAATTATATCTGCGTGCACATCTGGGTAAAATTTCAGATTCTGCCAGCCTCCTCCTTTCGAAACGATTGTTTTTGGAATGGATAATTCCTTCGCTGTTTAGCGCTGTAATGCTATTGTTCTCCGTCGCATCTGACTGCTTAAGCAGTGACGCAACTTGTACTTCTCGACGTCAGAGTTGCTTAAGCGAAGGATTTGCAATATGTTTGGGAAAAAATTTCCATGATTTACACAGCAAAACATATCAAAACAACTAACAAAAGCTTTAAATCGTGTTTGTTTAAACTCTACGGAAAAAAGACGCATGTTTCACCAATATAATTACGGTCTACTAATGTGCGGTTAAATCTGGGCTTACTTTTTGTCTGGTTGCCTCACAATACAAAAGCAATAAATTTTGATTACACAAAAATAGCCGATATCCCGAGCGTGTATGTCTGCCGCGAAGGAACGCCCATGAGCCTGAAGAGCGAGGTACATTTTCGTCATTAATAGCTGGATAAGAGCCCGCTGTAGCTTAACCTATGATACATCCTACTATTTCTTCCGTTCTATAAAATGGCGTTGTCCATTTCCCTCTATCACCGCGCGTCACACAAACGGATAACCTCATTCCTACATAATTTTCAATTTTACCTAAAATTTGCGGTGCTGCTCACATCGGGCAGGAACGGTTGCGCAGCATGGACACGGCGTCCTCCATGGAGCCGCCGCTCTTTCAGTTATTGCTGTCGCACGCTACATTTAACATTAGTTTATCGATGGGAATAATGCTAGAGCCCCCTTCTATGCGCAAATCGAGACAAATCACACTCCCAAAAGGTTTGTGCACTCGTTGCGAGTCTTTTCCGTCACCCGCGCTCATTTAGCGCCCTGCTCATTATTGTTGAGATTGAGATTGAGACCCCGCCCATCAGAAGTTTTTCCGTGACATGCCCGCAACGTCATCCTGGTCCCCATTCGTTATGGCAATTTGATTGCGCGCGCGGTTATTGTACACCGATTCAAAGGCGATGTATACAACAGACAAAAGAAATTAACGTTTAATATTTATCATTAATATTGCGTTTGTTAATAATCTGCCTGCGTTTATTGCAAAATAAGACAAAGAATTAGTTAGTTGCACTCTATAAATATTTGAGTATATATATATTCGTGCAATATGCAATGTGTGTAATATGCCGGTTCTCGTTATAATCTATTTAAATCTTACTAACCTTCTATTGCTGTACCTCCGTATACTTAGTCAAATATTGTTGATGTTGTAGTTTTTCTGCAGAAAAATGCAAATAGCGATTTATCAACATTTCAGCCGGCTATATATTTT